AAGTTATGGTATAGGTAAGCCTCCTTTCATAAATTTATATATTACGCATCTGCTGCCTCCTTTGCACCATGGCTGGTATACTTGGCTAGTAGCGCTGTTCATCCGTCCCTTGCCGCTATAGGCGTGGGCTGTATTCAGCGGTACGCGGTACTTCCCTCGTGCTTGTGCAGCAGCCTGTTCGCACCATGTACCACTGCCACTGCTACACACCATCGAAAGGAATTATTAACTTTGAGTAGAAGTGACATCATTATCACCTAGCAATGACGTCAAACTGTGATTACATGTACATCACTGGCACTGGAAGTCGTCCAGGCTAATTGTCTACTTCACTTCAGCACGCATCACGTAAATGTACGTGATCCTGGATGCTACCAGTCCACGGATCACGTACATATACGTGGTACGATATAAGCGCTACACGTAAGGGCGCGCTGCACTTATCGCCTACGCGTATACGAGTTGCGCTGATTGATATCTACTATTCTACTATTTTTATTAGTAATAAGCGCTACACGTTAGCGCGCTCTGCACTTATCGCCTACGCAAATACGACTGGCGCTGATAGATATCTACTATTTACTACGTACATTGTAAACCTCATGGACGCACACTACGTACTATACTATACTAGTGCACTTCGGAAAAAGAAAAAAAAGAAAAAAAGAAGGAAAATCTACATGACGTCGTATGGTTTTTTTGGCTTCCGATAGTACCAGTAACAAGGCCTGTACCGTGGTCACGCGGAGCTAGCTAGCTAGGCCTGTTCAGGAGACGTATTACGACAAGTACACGTGGAGTTCGCCCCGTATCGCGGCACGAGTACAGGTTGTGCAGTGCAAAAATGAGTCAGAAAGAAATTCGTTGACAATTATTTGTTGACATTTTCAACCATGGCACGACATAGCTAGTCGAGGGAATCCCTTGTTCAGGGAACATTCGGTTTTTACACGAAAACTCAGGCGTTGATATGGAGATTGACAAGTACGCACGGTCAAATCGCGCCGTGCGCCCGCCGTGCGCCCGCGGCCCGAAAAGAGGAAGATGGATGCGCTGCGAAGGCCTCTGTTCTCATTGAAAGAGATGTGGCACAATTTCGATTTGCCTTGAAATATCAGTCCCTCTTTAGGTAACTTTGCGGAGCTAACCCCAAAAGTGCGGAGGTTGGACAGTGTTTTAGCCTGGCCTGTAGGGGTTTATGGAGGTTTTGCCCGAAAAAAAATTGAACTCTGCCATGTCGTTCTCGAGAGAGAAGCGACGAGAAGAAGCCCGTTTTGCATTTTCAACATTTTGTCATCATGGGCAAGATATCCACGAAGAAGAGACACTCTGGAGGTTCTCAATACCAGTTTGCGTGCAAGAATCCCTTCCACGATGAGTGGGAATCGCCTCGGCATAGCTCCAAGGATGTTCGGGTTCGCAAGTGTATTCTGGCAGTGTTGTCAGCGCTCTCTGGACGAGACGTATCTGCAATTTGTAGGAGCTGCGGACGACTGGCTGACTTGAAGGATTTAATCACCAACCACCCTCTGTACGAGCCTCGGAGGGGCGATAGCTATGGGGACTCTGTAGACATGGTAGATGCCAGCGATGATGTTCCTCAGGCTCTCCCAGAGGTAAGCTCCTGCGATGATGTAGATGATTCTTTTCCCCCTGTCTTCAGCCAGTCCCGAGAAACCTCCTCAGCCTCAAACGAAGTACCGGTCGATTATGTTGAAAATGTTGATAAGGCCACCCTTTCTTTTTTCGTTGTTTAACGTCCGCGCCCGCGTACCTTTTTGCCTCCGACCGGAAAAAAAAACAAGAAAGTAGTAGTACCAATAATATGCGAAGTTGTAAATACATGATTGTGTAGTTTCACAGTGTGCCGATCATGACCTTAAACTTATTATCTTGCCTCCCGGGCATGCCTTTGTCTTGTGTTCTTTTTCTTTTTTTGTTGGCTTTTAAATATCGTATGGTGTGTGCCCTAGTAAAAATCCAGATGTAATGAATTCATGACATGCTAACTCCATGCTATGTACCTGTTTTGTTGGATTCATCAGGCATGTGCTCCAATGTACCATCAAAGAGTGTTGTTCTATGCCTGCAAGTGCCGTTAGACCCAGAAATATTGTATATATCACATGCTTTACTGGTCAATATGTTTGATTGTGGTTTCCAGTTTTTGGAATGGGCTTTTGTTTTTTTTCCGCCCTCCCGCGTATCTTTTCGCGAAAAAAAGGACGTTAAACAATGAATTAACAAAGGGTGGCCTAATGTTGAAAATGTTGATTCTTTGAAGCGTTTAGAGAGAGTGTTGGTGGCCAAAAACTGTGCGTTGGCTGCATTGTCGAAGATGCATTTGCAGAAGGATAGCAAAATTGAATTACTTGAGAAGGAAATAATTAGTATGAAAAAGGAAAGTGTAGGTTCGCTTCTGAGCACCTCGGAAGGTCGCTTGGACTTGCTACGTAGGCTGTGTGTGGCTGAGCAGCCGCAGTTCAAAGCAGATGTGTTGAGTGCTGTTGAGTCAGCAAAGTCAAGTAGATCATTGCAGAACTTGCTGTCCATCCCGACGGGTCAGTTCAGCAACAAACCCTACAACAAGTTTGTTGAGACGTTTGTGACGGGCATGACCTCCAGCACGTTTGCACTTGACTTCTCCGTTGCCGACCGCCGCACAGTTCTTCAAGCCCAAGCCATGGAGTCTCTCTATGCTGCTGCTAACTTGAATTACTGTGCAGAATTCCATGTTTTGCTCCAGGCGATAGTGTACAGCATCACCCAAAGCAAGACAACCCTCGACATTTTTGGTCACCTAGGGTCGGGGGGGAGTTATAAGCTCGTGAAAGATTGGTTGGCTGGGTTGGGTGGTAGCGAGCTGCAAGTTCCTGAAGGGTTCGTGAGTGTTGGGTTTGACAATGAGCAACGACAACTTAAGTCGTACCTCTCCCGTGGCAGCAATCGTTCCACGTATGAGGTTCTGACCAATGTTGTCTATGCCCGTCATTCCCATGTTCCTTCCCAAGAAAAGGGAGATTTCCATTTCCGAAATTGGAAATTTCCAACTGTCACTGAGATTCAATGTGCAATAGATCAGGTACCGGATCCTCTTGATCAAGAATCTTTGATTAAGCCACACTTGCTGAGTTTCATGAACAAAAGGATTGAAGCTCTTGTGTCTGAGCAGAGGCTATCAGCTGACCCAGTTGATAGCCATCTTGCATCATTGGAACGAGAAAGACGGTACCTGATCTGCCCTAAATGTTGCACACAGATGGAGCGCAGGCTGCATTTGTGTCCCAATGCGACATGCAGGGTAAATGTTAGGCAGGCATTGCAAGCTGACCAAGGCAAATCAGTGGTGTCGACCGAGCACATCAAAGTCACCAAGCCAGGCACACTAAAGTCAGGCACCGAGTTTGTGTATGTACCGCATGTGGACAGCAGTACTGGTGTTTCGTTAACCAGAGTGTCCTCAAAGACCAGTGGTGAAGATGTGCCCCTTGTGTCCCCGGCAGATGTTGGGTTTCTAGAGCCCATTTTT